GCCGTCGTGGCCCTCTCGCCCGTGGCCGCCGTCACGGGCCTCTCGGTGAAGGCCGCCGTGGTGATCGCGCTGAGCCCGCCGAGGGTGGACGCAGCGTCCTCCACCGCCTCGCGGAGGGGGGGGGGGGGTGCGGCAGCGCTGGGGGCGACCGGTTGTTACTGTGGCCCGTTGGGTGTTAGTGTGGCCCGTTGGGTGTTAGTGTGGCCCGTCGCGCGGCGGGATGGGAGTTACTGTGGCCCGCGCAGGCCGCTCAATGAAAAGTAATATGTAAAGGTATCTCATGTTAGATCTGGAGAGATTCGCAACCCTTAAGGGAATGCACTCCCGCGCAAGCAAAAGTGGCCACAGTAACTCCCATCTGGAACCAACGTGGTAGTAGTGCTGTGTTAGTAGTGTGGTGGTCGCTGTGCTGTGTTAGTGGTGTGGTGTGGTGTTGGTAATGTTGTATTAGTGGTGTGGTGTTGGTAGTGGCGGATTGTGCTGTATGCTGTGTTAGTGGTGGGGTGTTGGTAGTGGTGTGCTGTGTTAGTGGTGTGGTGTTGGTAGTGTTGTGTTAGTGGTGTGGTGTTGGCAAGGTTGAATTGTTAGTAGGTAGTAGTGTTGTGGTAGTGGCAGTGGTGCTGTGGTAGTGGTGTTGTGGTAGCGCTGTTGTGGTGTTGTGGTTGTGGTATTGTGGTAGCGGTGTTGTGGTGTTGTGGTAGCGGTGTTGTGGTGTTGTGGTATTGGTATTGTGGTAGTAGTGCTGTAGTGTGGTAGTACTATGGTGCTGTAGTGTTGGTGTTAGGTACTATCATTCATAGGGAGTACTAGTCCTACGGAGTACTAGCCGCAGGGAGTGCTAGCCCCAGGGAGTACCAGTCCTAGGAATTACTACCCCAAGGGCGTATTCGTCCAAGGGAGTATTCGTCCTAGGGAGTACTCGCACTACGGAGTACCAGCTCTAGGGAATACTAGTCCTAGGGAGTGCTAGTCCGAGGGAGTGCTAGGAAGTAGTGGCGCTAGGGAGTGCTAACCCTAGGAAGTACTGGCGCTAGGGAGTGTTAGCCCTAGGCCGCTAGGGACGACGACGACGACGACGACGACGACGACGACGACTACGACGAGGAGTAGTAGTAGTAGGTAGTAGTAGTAGGTAGTAGTAGTAGTAGTAGTAGTAGTAGTAGTAGTAGTAGTAGAAGTAGTAGTAGTAGTAGTAGTAGTAGTAGTAGTAGTAGTAGTAGTAGTAGTAGTAGTAGTAGTATAGAGTAGTAGTAGACGTAGTTGTGGTGGTAGTAGTAGTAGTAGTAGCAGCAGTAGTAGTTATAATGATAGTAGTCGTAGTAGTCGTCGTAGTAGTAGTAGTAGTAGTAGTAGTAGTCGTAAAAGTAGTAGTAGTAGTAGTAGTAGTAGTAGTAGTAGTAGTAGTAGTAGTAGTAGTAGTAGTAGTAGTAGTAGTAGTAGTTCTAGTAGTAGTAGTCGTAGTAGTAGTAGTAGTAGTAGTAGTAGTAGTAGTAGTAGTAGTAGTAGTAGTAGTAGTAGTAGTAGTAGTAGTAGTAATAGTAGTAGTAGTAGTAGTAGTAGTAGTCGTAGTAGTAGTAGTAGTAGTAGTAGTAGTAGTCGTAGTCGTAGTCGTAGTCGTAGTCGTAGTCGTAGTCGTAGTCATAGTAGTAGTAGTAGTAGTAGTAGTAGTAGTAGTAGTAGTAGTAGTAGTAGTAGTAGTAGTAGTCGTAGTTCGGAGAGCCCAGGAAGCTCTTCCGAGAGCCCAAGAAGCGTTTCGGATGCCCCAAGAGGTTCTTCGGAGGCCCCGCGGGGCTCTTCGGAGAGCCCAAGAGGCTCTTAGGCGGCTGCCAGAAGGACTTCGGCGGCCCCAAGAGGCTCTTCGGAGAGCACCGGAAGCTCTTCCGAGAGGCTCTTCGGTGAAGGGGGGGGGAGGGCGGAGCCTTTTTGGACCTCCCCCCCCCCTTCACCGTACTCGATGATTAATACACTCCGGAGGACCCCTGGCCATACTAACACCCACCGGGCCGCAGTAACAACCAACGGGCCGCGGTAACACCTTATCTCGCGCTGGGGGGGGGGGGGGCGGGCTCGGCGACACACCGCCGATGGATCGGCGATAAACCCTCGGTGGTGGATCCGCACGCTCCTGCGAGGAGAACAGCTATCGCTTTGTGAGGAAAGGGTCTGGATCAGGAAGAGCATGAGCAGTAGCATCCGGATGCAGCGAACGATACCTTCGGCCTCCTGCGGGTAAGGATATCCTCAGTTCTCCCGGCCCCATCTTGCCAACCCGATACTTGTCTTCCTGATCCTGGGCGGGGTAGACCATGTCGGGCCCCTATCGGCAAGCCAGGGGGCTATTTGGGGGTCGATGCGTCCGCCCCGACGTTGCCTATCTCCCCCCGACGTTGCCCCCGACGTTGCCCCCGAGGCTCCGGGGCCCAGGACCCGTCAGCATCGGAGGGGGCCATCGGATCGAATCGGACTGCGCGTCGGGTCGGCCGTGCGTCCCCAGACGTGC